GTCTTATATAGGACTTCTGACTTCTGACTGATAAAGTATCAGGTTCCAATTCTGGTAACAAGCTATTATGATAAGACCTAATGATCCCTGCCTCCTGGTATTTACATGCTCATATAAGTCCATACCATATTGGACTGAACTGACACGTGTAACTAATAAGATATTACAGAAATGACCACGTGCAACATCTAAAGCTATGTTTTAAATGACATTGCAGCTCTTGCCTTGCTTTCTCTTGGATCACTTGTGCTGGAGGAAGCTAATCACCACATTGTAAGAACACTCCAGAAGCCCTATGGAAAGGTCCATGTGCTGAGTAACGGAAGCCTTCTACCAATAGCCAGCACAAATTTAGCATGTTAATGAGTCATCTTGGAAGCGGATAGTCCATCCCCAGTCAAGCCTTCAGATGACTATAACCTGACAACTATCTTGATGAAACCTTTGTCTGAAATTCAACAATTGTTTTAGATTGATTTCTGTGGGCTAACTCTAATAATTTAAAGACCATTTAAAATTATTTCTGGTCTTCTTACATTACTTAATTCAATGTTTTTAAACTTTTAATACCATATTTTATATAGAGAGGACAATAAAAGTATTATGTGTATTATTAAAAGAACATTTTTTTAAATTCAAGTAACCACCACCATACTTAAAAAGTATATAACTGCTAATATATTTGAAGCTTCCTGTGTCCTCATTCCAACAATTTCCTTCTCCCTTCATTCAGAGGTAACAATTCAGAATTTTGAGTTTATAATTCCCCTCCTCTTAATATAATTTATTATGTATAAGTATGCCTAAATGATATAGAAGCCTTGTCAAATTTTGTTTTGACCTTTTAAACAATGAAATTACACAGTTTATAATCTTCTGTATTTTAATAAATTTTCCTCAACATTATGTCTTTGAGGTTAAGCTATAACAATGATTGTAACTGTGATTCACTCAGTTGCACTCAGATACATTGCTTATTTAAACCACAAAATGTTTATCCAGTTTCCTGTTTATGGACATTTGGTTTGTTTTTGGCTTTTTTGTCATTATAAATAGTGATGCTATTAACATCCTGTGTATACATACTACTTGGCATTTATATGCAAACTGTATATTCCTAGGAGCGGAATGATTGAGTATGAGGCTGTAAGAAAATGCCAGTTTTCCCAAAGGGTTCTATGAATTTACACTACTGCCAGCAGCAATATGGACAATTCATTGCTCCAAATCCTCCCCAAAATTTTGGAAAGTCAAAATTTCTTTTTTGTCATTCTGATAGGTGTGAAATTATATTTCATTTTGATTTTAATATTATTGATTGCTAATGAGGTTGACATATTGTCATATATGTATTGATCACTGTGCTTCTTTTTTTTTTTTTTTTTTTTTTTTTTTGCGGTACGTGGGCCTCTCATTGTTGTGGCCTCTCCCGTTGTGTAGCACAGGCTCCGGATGCGCAGGCTCAGCGGCCATGGCTCACGGGCCTAGCCGCTCCACGGCATGTGGGATCTTCCCGGTCCAAGGCATGAATCCATGTCCCCTGAATCGGCAGGCGGACTCTCAACCGCTGCGCCACCAGGAAAGCCCTGTGCTTCTTCTTTACTGAAATGCATGCTCATGCTTTTTCACTCTTCTTTTCTAATGAATGTATTGTTCAATTTCTTGTTGAATTTACTGTCATAAACATATTCTAGAAATCAATTCTTTGTCAGATATATATGTACATAAAGTATTTTCTCTCATTTTTCCCTTCACATTTACTTTGTTATTTTATTTTTATTTTAAAGTAGTCATATTTCGTAATATTTTTACTAAAATATTCTTACCTTCATTTATTACATACATTGGTAGACTTCTTTGGCTTAGTATTTTGTTCAGGAATTTTGCAGCTATATTCTTGAGTCGGACTGGTCTTAAAATTTTTTCTCAACAATTGTTGAACCTCAGATTTTCTTTTTTCCAGAAATTTTCCCCAATATTTTATGAAAAAAATAATCAAAGAAACCCAAAATGAATAGTACAATGATCCTCTAGGTATCTATCACCAAGCAATGACAATTATCCCACATGGCCTTTCATTTCATCTATATTGTTTTCTTACCCTTACTACACTGGATTACTTTGAAGCAAATCCTGAACAACATATTTCAACTGTAAGTATTCTATCATCTATCTGTAAATGATAATATCACTTTAAATATAAGTACAATATTGTAATTGCACCAAAAATAATAGAACCCCTTAATATTTTCAAATGTTCACACCTAGTCAAGTGTCTCAAAATTATTTTCTCATCTGATTTGTTCAAATCATGATCTAAACATGAGACATACCTTGTATTCGATTAATACATCTCTCAAATGTTAAGAATTTCATATTGCTTTACTTCCTTAAATTCATTTGCTAAGGAAATGGAGTCATTTATCCTGTGGAGTTTACCCCACCTTCTAGACTTTGCTGATTCCCTGTTTTGTAACATAAAATTTGTCTCTATCCCCAATATATCCTGGAAATTGGTATCTCGTTGTTAATCAGAGGTTATCAAACCATTTTGACCTCAGGACACTTTACACTCTTAAAAAGTATTGAGGACACCAAAGAATTTTTATTCATGAGAATTATTTATATTTATAATAAATATTGATATTTATAATACCATATGTTAAACAAGGATTTTAAAATATTTATTTTGTATCTCATTTTGATCATTTTTTTAATGTCAACAAAATGCCCATATGTGATTAACAAGTTTGTCTCTCAGTCCATCTTTCAAGAAAGAATTTTCTTCCATGAAAATGGTGGATTACAAAGGCTTTTTTCCCAAGACAACCATTATACTTTAGTACACAGGCTTTCCACTTAGTCATACAGAATTTGAAGAAATGTATTCAAGTGTTAAGATTGGGAGTTTGGGATTGACATGTGCACACTGCTATATTTAAAATTGATAACCAGGCTTCCCTGGTGGTGCGGTGGTTAAGAATCTGCCTGCCAAGGCAGCAGACACAGATTTGAGCCCTGGTCCAGGAAGACCCCACATGCCACAGAACAACTAAGCCCGTGCACCACAACTACTGAGCCCATGTGCCACAACTACTGAAGCCTGCACACCTAGAGCCCATGCTCTGCAACAAGAGAAGCCACCACAATGAGAAACCTGCACACCTCAACGAAGAGTCGTCCCCGCTTGCCACAACTAGAGAAAGCCTGCATGCAGCAACAAAGACCCAACACAGCCAAAAATAAATAAATAAAATAAATAAGAATTTATTAAATAAATAAATAAAATTGATAACCAACAAGGACCTACTGTATGGCACAGGGAACTCTGCTCAATATTCTGCAATAACCTAAATGTGTAAAGAATTTGCAAAAAAACAGATACAGGTATATATATAAATGAATCACTTTGCTGTACACCTGAAACTAACACAACATTGTTACTCAACTATATTCCAATATAAAATAAAAATTAAAAAATATATTTACTAAAATGAGTTATCTTTACTGCTTCATCAATGTCATTTTTTTTTTTTTTTGGAAGTACCATGTGACATGCGGGATCTTAGTTCCCTGACCAGAGATTGAACCCATGACCCCTGGAGCAGAAGCGTGTAGTCTTAACCACTGGACGGCCAGGGAAGTCCCGAAGGACATTTTAGAGTGAATGTATTTGTTTGCTTCTTGCAAGTGCGTGGGAGTGAAGAACACGGGTAGACACCCCTACCTTGGTGAATGCTGAGGACCCTGAAATTTACCCACAGCTGCCTGTGCCCCATCAGTGCAAATGTCAACACAGTGAAGAAGGCAAATGATATTTTAGTAAAGTTATGAAAATTGAAATATTACAGTCCCCTTGAAATGGTCTTGAAGACCCCCAGGGGTCTGCACATCATGGTCTGAGAATGCCACTCTGAGGTATCAAATTTCCGGCTCGGAATTGAAGTGAACTGAGGAATTATTTCTCAGTCTTCCCACACAGAGTTGGCCAGAAGGCAAATCTACCTGATCCTGGTTTGTCTATTGCCTTAGAACACTCCATGCTTCCTTTACACCTTGTTCCAATAAGGAGAAAGCAATGCTGAAACATTGCTCTTTCCCATTGCTTCAATTCTTTTCTTTCCCTCAACTAATATCTTGCCCTCAGCAATATTTTCCAATGTTATACTCACCCAACTTTTACTTATTGCTAGTTTGGTTTTCTTTAATCTTAAAAGACAGGGATTAATGAAGCTCATATATATGCCAGCAAGAGTCAGTTCTTGACAGACTTCCCAAAAATACACTTCTAGTACTTCTTTAACTATCCAATGTCACATATTTTCTAAACTATGAAACAGAATTCGAGCCACCAGGCTGCCTTCATTTCTATAAGTTTTTCACACCAGTTACCTGGACAAGGATGGCAAAAGTGTAAACTTCACCTGTTCTTGAGAAAGTACTGGTCTGCTCAAGAAAAAGAAGTAACAGCTGTGGCAATTCCCAGGCTTTGATGGGAAGGATCTCCTCCCTGTGGTAGAAATCTCCTTGAATCAATGCCAGACACTTCCGCATGACCCCTTTCATGTCTCCAGTTTCCTGTTATTCATTTCAGCACCCCTCCTTCAAATCGTCTTATAAAAACCCAGTCTTTTCTGTCCTGACCAACCAGTGCAGATCACTGCAAGACAGGTAAGTGGGAGCTGAGAGAAGATGAGACCCCTGACAGGGGATTCACCTCACATATTTCAGGGAAGGTATACAAGGATCCCTGTCTGTAGAGAACGTAGGAGCTTTGAGACCAGGTAAAGGCAGTCCTGGGAGGTCTCAGGTGTAGTAGGATGTACAGCTTTTCCAATTCTTTCCAGAAGTATGGAAGGGGATGCATGTTATCAAGATGGATTTATTCCTAGGGAACTAGACAGAGGAAAAGACAAGAGGTACAACAGGGGGTTTCTCATAGTCTCTCTCTGACCACCCTTCCTTTAGTTCTCTGGTTGTCTCCGCACATCACAGACAAAATGATGCCTTCCATGGGCGTCCCCAGCCTGTCCTGGATGCTGCCCTCCTGCCTGTTGCTCCTGTCTCAAGTCCAAAGTGAGACTTCTCTGCCTCTGTCACTGGCTTCCCAGTGTTTGCTCAGGGCCAAGAAGAGGAGGAAAGCTCCTGTGTGCCTCCCATGGTGATGGTACATCCCCACACAACAACACTGCCTGCAATTCCTGTATCATCACTCCTTCCTTCAGCGTAACTAGTGGTGGGAGTCTCCCCAGTGGTCCAGTACCAGTTGGATGAGATGATTTCCATTTTCTCAGAAGAGTCTAATTTATGTGGATGATTAAGGAGGGAAAGTATAGAGTGTTTTTAATGAGATGAATAGAAGGAGAAAGATTGAAGGATCCAGTAGAAAAATAGTCAGCCCAGAAGAGGAGAAAAGTTGGACTTTTGAACAAGGCAGATGAATAAAAAGAAAACAGACCATCTCCCAATTACTAGGTCTAGTTCATGATAAAAAAAAAAAAAATCCTGGGAGTGTTGGCAATGGTGACAGGCAGTCAGGAGTGTGATGTCACTTCCCCAAGCACTGGCCTCATAGATAATATTCAAGGTCACCTCCCCATTCCAATATCCTCTCTCCATTTCACCCCATCCTTATCCTTTATGTTTTCCTCCTCAGGGGAAGATTCCCAGAAGGAACTACCCTCTGCATGGATCAGCTGTCCGAAAGGCTCCATGGCCTATGCGTCCTACTGCTATGCCTTGTTTTTTATTTTTTTATTTTTTTAACATCTTTATTGGGGTATAATTGCTTTACAATGGTGTGTTAGTTTCTGCTTTATAACAAAGTGAATCAGTTATACATATGTTCCCATATCTCTTCCCTCTTGCGTCTCCCTCCCTCCCACCCTCCCTATCCCACCCCTCCAGGCGGTCACAAAGCACCGAGCCGATATCCCTGTGCTAGATATATTTCTGATGTATTTGTGGGGATGAAGTTGATCTCTGTATCTTACTCTTCTGCCATCTTGATGGTCTCTCTCCCTTCAATTTCTTTTAACCAAGTCTTGTTGTTTTCATTGTATATATCTTTCATTTCGTTGGTTAAATTTATTCCTATATATTTTATTGTTTTCGATACTATTGTGAATGGGATAGGTTTTATTTTGTTTCTTTTTCAGATGTTTCATTGTTACTGTATAGAAATACAATTGATTTCAGTATGTTGATTTTACATCCTGTAGTTTACTGAATTTTTTGATTAGTTCCAAAAGTTTCTGTTTGGTTCTTTGGGGTTTCCATATATAAAATTATACAACCTGAAAATAATAACAATTTTATATTTTTTTCTGATTTGTTTACCTTTTATTTATTTTTATTTATTTATTTTTTTAACATCTTTATTGGGGTATAATTGCTTTACAATGGTGTGTTAGTTTCTGCTTTATAACAAAGTGAATCAGTTATACATATACATATGTTCCCATATGTCTTCCCTCTTGCATCTCCCTCCCTCCCACCCTCCCTATCCCACCCCTCCAGGCTGTCACAAAGCACCAAGCCGATATCCCTGTGCCATGCAGCTGCTTCCCACTAGCTATCTACCTTACTACGTTTCCCACTACTGGGCATATACCCTGAGAAAACCAAAATTCAAAAAGAGTCATGTACCAAACTGTTCATTGAAGCTCTATTTACAATAGCCCGGAGATGGAAACAACCTAAGTGTCCATCATCAGATGAATGGATAAAGAAGATGTGGCACATATATACAATGGAATATTACTCAGCCATAAAAAGAAACAAAATTGAGCTATTTGTAATGAGGTGGATAGACCTAGAGTCGGTCATACAGAGTGAAGTAAGTCAGAAAGAAAAAGACAAATACTATATGCTAACACATATATATGGAATTTAAGAAAAAAAAATGTCATGAAGAACCTAGGGGTAAGACAGGAATAAAGACGCAGACCTACTGGAGAACGGACTTGAGGATATGGGGGGGGGGAAGGGTGAGCTGTGACAGGGTGAGAGAGAGTCATGGACATATGCCTTGTTTATAACACCCAAACCTGGATGTATACAGACATGAGTGCTGGGATTTGCAGTTAGGGCTGATAAGGATAAGCAAATTAGAGACAGGGTTTTGGGGCTGGGAGTCTCCATTCTCTAGAGTTTCTTGAGGGTGAGAATGAGCACCTCATTTTTTGCAAACACAACACCTTCTCACCTACCTTAGCCCTGTCCTTCCCTCAGTGAGGATTTCAATCTCCTCCTCAGTCTCTCCCTTCTTCACAAAGATGGCCTGCCAGAAGAGACCCTCAGGACACCTTGTGTCTGTGCTCAGTGGGGCTGAGGGATCCTTCATTTCCTCCCTTCTCAAGAACAATTTGAAACTCCTCTCAGACGTCTGGATTGGGCTCCATGACCCCACAGAGGTACACTTACATGCTCTCTAATCTGTTACTTCCCAAGATGCTATGGCTACCAGGCCCCTCCCCGTCCCCTGCCCCTGCCAAGAAAATATCCTAGAGATCCCTGGAGCTCAGGGGATATTTGGAGAAAATGGAGAACCTTGAGGCCAGCTGAAGAGCTGAGTTCTGTGCAGGTCCCTAGCCTCCAGCTAAAATTAATCTGCCTCTTGTCAAACTTTTACACAATTCACACATCATGCCTTGTAATTCAGTTCTCTGAGATTCCCTGAGTCTGCACATGCTGTGCTTAGCAAGTGGTAAATGAAGATTTAGCATTGACACATTTTTCCCTTTTATAAAACACATTGTCTTGGAGGTTCTGAGGGTAATCACAAATGCACCACCAAGTGCAGTTCACAGTGCACAGTGACACAGTACTCATAGGGATTCCATTGGTATTTGTGATCATTTGCTTTGGAATTTGCCAATAGGAGCAAAGAGTTTGGGAGAGTTTCCCAGAGGAGAGCTATGGGGCATCACCTGGAAGAGCAGAGCAAATTCCATGATGCTGGGGAGGGGGTCAGTCGTTCCAGCTGACGGAATCAGGCCAGGAGAACTCTAAAGGCCTTTTCACCTCACCTGACTCCATGCTCTGCTCTATGGGGCTCTGAGCCCAGTGCCGGTGGATGGGAGTGGAGTAGCACTGATGTGCTCAATTACGTTGCCTGGGAGAGAAGTCCAGCCACCACCTCAAACCCTGGCTACTGTTAGAGACTGTCAAGAAACACAGGTAAGAAACAGGGGGAAGGGTAAGCTGTGACAAAGAGAGAGTGGCATGGACATATAAACACTACCAAACGTAAAATAGATAGCTAGTGGGAAGCAACTGCATAGCACAGGGAGATCAGTTCGGTGCTTTGTGACCACCTAGAGGGGTGGGATAGGGAGGGTGGGAGGGAGGGAGATGCAAGAGGGAAGAGATAGGGGAACATATGTGTATGTATAACTGATTCACTTTGTTATAAAGCAGAAACTAACACACCATTGTAAAGCAATTTTACTCCAATAAAGATGTTAAAAAAGAAACAGAGGGGATCACTTCTGCTCAGGCGTTTTCATCACCTCATTCCCCATTTCTGGGCCTGGTCTTCAGAGAGTCCTCCTGGGCTGGAACTATAATATTGGTTTGTCTGTTCCCATCCCTTCTCTTCTCTCCTTTCTTTCTGTCTCTTTCCCCTGGAGTGGGACCCTTGTGAAGATAACAGAGGGCCTTTGAGTCCTAGACCAGAATCTGGGATGCATCTCCATTGGGTTCTCAAGCTCCACCAGCCCCATTCACCTGAGCTCTTCTGTCTCTCCAGGGTATCTGAAGTAGAGAGATTATAATTGTTATGTGAACTTACCCTATGTCTGAAAGTTCATGGATGAGGTCAGATGGGAAGCCAGCAGCTTGAGTCTGGTGTTCAGCTCATTGTGGACTTGGAACCAAGTGTGAAGACCCATCCCAAAGGGGGATATTCTCCCCATACCCGCAACCTGACCACCTTATTCTGACCTTCCCTTCTCCCCACCCTAATTTCAGGCTCTTTTGTGTGTTCCATAACCTGGTTTTTCAAGGTTCATAATAAAAATGTTAGTCTTCCACTGCCTGTCTTCTCTGCTTCATTTCCATAGAGAAACTCTGAGAAGGAAGAAGTGGGTGGGCAAGGAGAAACTTTGGTCAATCTCTGCCCAATTTCACCCATGTCTTTGGGGAAATAACTACATATATATATATATATATATATATATATATATATATATATATATATATTCTTCTTAGCATATTTGTGTATTGTGTATTTATATTGAGGTACATCAACACTGCTTCTGTAGGATGTGTGTTGTGGACATATAAAGACGTCTCTCTCCCACACACTCTATTGCCCACACATTCCCCCAAGACAGGTTTCTGAGGGTATGAGGCAACCAGTCTTAAGGTATGTGATGATGTTTAGAACTGTACTTCCTAAACCATCAGTGTGAAACGTAATGAACAGATTTTATTAATATTCATAAAATACAACACAAATGAATTAACAGACTACTTAAATGGATAAAACAGATAATCAAAATGAAAACCTGTTTTTCTTGTGATTGGTTTCAACAGACATAAATGTAATCTGTCAAACTGAGTACAGTTTTCTAATATCTGTCAAATTCTGTACTTAACTTACCATGTTCAGCTAGCAGTGGTCCATCTAACCACATGTTGCCTTGTTCCTATAGGGTACTTGTGAGAATGGACCCCAGTAGGTCCTCTGTCCTTGGGCCTTAAAAGCACTCTGACCTCAGTGGAGTTGGTGTGACTTTAAAGTCTAGCAAGATTTTTCTTAACACTTTTTGGATGAAAAACTATTGTGTTTTTAGAAGAAATTCTTCTTACCTAACCGAAGGCAAGACCCAGCCTTTTCATGTATCTGCATATTTCAAGACCACTAATCTGTCTTCCACCTTATCACCACCCCTCCCTCGCCACTAGCTTCCATTGTGGAAAAAATAAATGTTTTGGGCCAGTTCCCTAATATGGGAAAAATTATCATACGAGACCACTGACAGAATTTTCCATATGGGTCAAGAACACTATAGCATTGACATGTAAGGGTATTGCTTCTCAAATAAAGAGATGAAATGAATGGTCAGTGTCTTTTATTTCTAATGTTTGTTAAATTTAATTTGTTCTTTCTAGGATAGATAGCCTTGACTAAATACTCTTTCAGCATTTTTGGTGGAAACACTTCTCTATCAGTTTAAATAAATTTATGATTGTACAATGCCAGGGGTCTTGATTTTCTTCCCTGTTTAAAGTAACAACATGGGTTTGAAAAGTTCACAGTGATTGTGCTTGTGCCAGTTTCTATTTTAGTTGAGTTCTCCCTTCGATGGCAGGTGGGCTACCACAGCTGTTGGGACCAGATTCTCTTCTTCCTGTTGGAACCCATTGTGTTAGATAGGATATTTGTAGTTGAAAGTAAGAAAAATCCCAACATAATTTGGCTCAAAAAAGTAAAGGTATTTACTGGATACATAACTGAAAAATCTAACAGTGAGGAAGGCTTTGAGCTCAGTTTGACCAGGGCTCAAGTGTCATTTCTCTGGGGCTCACTTGTCTACATTCTCTTTTATCTGTATCCTTTATCTGTTTACTGCCTTCCTTTGTTACAGCACAAGAGAGTCGGCAGCAGCAACTGGGGCTACTGATGGCTACTCAACATCAGAATAGAGAATTTATACTCTTCCCTAAATTTATAAAATGAAAGAACCCTGAGCTCCATTCTTTTTAGACAAACCTGAGCAAATCGCTATAGGCAAGGGTATGTCATGGGCTGGCACTTGAAGCCTCAATTACTGTGCATACTTGAACCATTATTAGAGCAAAGAGGATATACTATCTTAGTTGAATTACATGAGTTGTAAACTGTCCAGGATCTTGGAGTGTGATCACTATCAACAAACCTCAGGAAGGGTTACTCTCAGAAGGATGGAAGGATTGGGTTTTCTTATGGAACACCTGGGAGCTGCCAGGGATTATATCTGCACACATATTCGGAGAATTGGAAGTAAGTAAAACTTGAAGTTGTAATTGGGATTAGGGAATATGAAAAATGGTTAAATCTTTTTTTTTTTTTTTTTTGCTTAATAATGAGCAATTATCATATTACTACCATCAAAAGAATCAAAATACAAGCATGTCCAGTGAGGGGAGGCATCCTAAACTTGCAGACTCAAGTTAAGGACAAGTCAGTTTGCTGTTGACACCTGACATCATATAATATCACTATTCCAATTTTTCACTTCTTTTTGCCAGCTTACATAGTGAATGTTCCTCTGTAGTTTTCTTTTGCCCAGATTATTATGGAAATGTGCCGTGGCTATTTTCAGCCTCTCTTTGAAAGTAACCAGCCCCACTGACACTTAAAGCTTAGATGGCATGCATTTTTAAAACTAGTTTGGTGATGATGTATATTTTCAAAAGGCAATAAGTCATCTGGTGAAGATAAAATCAAAACACTGCCCTCTCCACAGAGCAATGAAAAGATAGAGAATTAAGAGGATGCTTGGAAAAAAATCTGTGATATTATACTTTATTAAATCTTTTCAAACTGTTCTCTCTAAATCAAGTTTAGACTGGATATTGCTGTTCTCCTAAGGATGTGTTAAATATTATGATATTTAGATTACCTGGAACTCCAGCAAGGCCACTTCTGTACCCATATTCTGGGTCTATAAACCAAGTGGCTGCTTAATGATTCCCTATCAATGCAGGAAATTTTGCCAGCCATGTTTCCAGAAAGAAGTACCTTCTGATTTTTCTTAAAATAAGAAAAAAATCACTTAAAACAATCATGAGCATTTAAAATCATTGATTAAAGAAATGATTTATTCCTATCTCTTCTAAAATTAAAATAAAGATAATATAGACATTCAACAAACTGGATAAGTTTAATAAATTGTGGTACAACTATTGAATTGAATATGAGCTATTATAAATTACAGTGAAATGCTTCATTCTGTTAAATTATGAAATGTACATGTGGGAGGTTGAGGCAGTGAAGGACCTCCTTTTCCATTCCCCCACTCACCGTACAGCTTGAGTGGTTTTACCAGAGTAGATAAGGAAGATTTATTATAGCAGGACCTGAGCAAAGGGTAGAGGTAAAATCAAAGCCTATCAAGTAAGCAGAAAAAAGCCAGGACACTGAGAAGGAACACAGGTGACGTGGGCTCAGAGAGATTCCCAGAATGGGGAGAAGCCCTTCCAGGAACAGGCTGGAACTGTCAAATGTAACGTATCCTCCCCACAATCAGTCCCACTTTCCTTTAGGGAAAGGTGAAGTTTTATCATTCTCTGAATGCCTCCAGGTACCCAGTTCCCACGACCCTGAGAGGCAGAGGGTGTGAGAAAAAATCCTCCAGCAGAGACTGCAAAAAGGAAGCAAAGAAGTAACCCAGAAGGGATGCAAGAGATCAGGCCTCCTGGGAATATTTAGGAAGATATTTGGAAAAAGATTCATGGAAGAGAGATGCAGGGAAGAGTGGACAGACCGTTACCCTTACTGATAGCCCATCTCATCTCCTGATTTTGCCCTTTTCCTCAAATTTAAAAAAAGTGACCAACACTTGCCTACGTAGATGATAAAGAAGGTGATAATCCTTCCAACTGAATCCAATTGCAAATATCCCTGAAAATCTGACTTTAGTCTAAAACTTTTACTTGTGAGCTTATATCTCATTATTTTAAGTGAAAAAAAGAATACATGATACAGTGGGTTCCCACCACAAACCCCACTCCCCCAACCAATGCTCTAAAACCCGTGAACACCTATGTTTAAGTAGCAAGCTGTCATGTTAAAATGGAAAATTCTTGGGCTTCCCTGGTGGCGCAGTGGTTGAGTCTGCCTGCCAGTGCAGAGGACTCGGGTTTGAGCCCTGTTCTGGGAAGATCCCATATGCTGCGGAGCAACTGGGCCCGTGAGCCACAACTACTGAGCCTGCGCGTCTGGAGCCTGTGCTCCGCAACAAGAGAGGCCGCGGTAACGAGAGGACCACACACCGCAATGAAGAGTGGCCCCCGCTTGCCGCAACTGGAGAAAGCCCTTGCACAGAAACGAAGACCCAACACAGCCAAAAGTAATAAATTCTGCCTTCCTCAAAAAAAAAAATAAAGGAAAATTCTTTAAAACTTGATTTCCTGATTAGCACACAATGAATGAGTTTGTTAAACAAATTGT